GTTTCCATGCTTTTGATTTATATTGTTGGGTAATTATATTGTATATAATTTGCAGGCATCAGGGAGGTACATCAATATCAGGGGATTGAAAACAGTTTTGAATGCGTGCTTGCTTTTTACTTTCACTTTCAAAATCACGATCACACGCACTGTGCATAGGGAGCGGTGGTAATGATTTTACAGGATAAGATATTTGTCACTGATGCTTTCTCAAGCCAACCTAATAATAATAATTATAAATAGCATTTCAGTAGGTTGGATTTTTTTAAGCCAACTTAATAATAATAATAATAATAATAATAAGCCAGCAGCATAGTAATAGCTCACAGTAAGTTCATAGTAATAAACCACTAATAATAATACATTTAAATAGCATTTTAGTAGATTTCTCAAGCTAAAGGTTTTCCTGCTGCCTTAAATAAAGAGAGCTGCCTTTAAAAATGAAATAATAAAAAAGATAAATAAAAAGAATAAATAGTGTGATTTTTATTTTTTTTGTTATTCTGTTGTGTTTTCCAGCTCATTTGTCCGGACAAAATCAGTAAAGAATCATACATTATGGGGAAGGTAAAAGAGTGGGAAAAGAGTATATGTTTTCTCCTCCCTTTAATTTTTTCCTTTATTACTTTCCTTTTGTTTACTCACACTAATGACTGTCTGTCTTTCTCTTCAGGACTGTTTTTAAATCTTAAAGCAGCGATATGTGCTGGTGTTGGTGTTGTTCTGCTGCTGGCTGCAGCTGTTCTTGGTGTGATTTACTTTTTTTGCAGGAGCTCTAATAAGGGCAAGTATCACCTACATATACTATAGTGAGAGAAAAACATAATCTTTATCAAGCAAAATTACTGTTTAATTGTCTGTTTGTTTGTTTTTTTAACAGAAGACATGAAGAAAAACAAGTCTAAGCATCTGTTGAAAGTCCCAGTATAACGTAAAATATTGTACTACTCCTGTGTAAACTGAATCTTATTAACTGTAAATACTGTTCATTTCTTTCTCTTTACTTTCTTTTTTTTTACAGAATGAGAAAGGTCACATAATCAGAGAGAATCTTAACAGGATCAGTCAAAAATATTTCTGGATGTTGGATTATAACTTTGGAAACTAATGGCTATAGACATTTTTCCCCACTCAGTCCATGAGTAAATCCATACATAAGGACTGATTGAGGGGAAAGATTCCCAGTCTTCACCAAATTTTGCACATAACAGCTTGGGAAGCTGCTGGCAGAGGTTTTATGCCCATTCAAAACCAATGGGGCATGTCCCAACAATCAGGCCAGTTCTGTTTCCTCAAGAAAGTTCCTAATTTTCACGTGTTTTAAGTCTTGCCAGTTTAAACATTCAAGTGCAAGACACCACAAAAGAGAACGGTACTTGCAAGCACCTGATGCGTGCACACATGGACAAACTCTTCTTAGACTGCACATGAGTAGCGAATTAAGTTCTCTTTCATATCTTCTTAAGCAAATATACAGACAACTGTCAAAATTCAGTCCGTTAAGTGGAAGGAAACAGTTAAGAAAATAATCTCCAGCTGGTGTGCCCAGGAAAGCCATCAGAAGCCACTTTTCCCCAGACCTCTGTTATTTAGTCACAGACTACATTTCCCACAACCCATTGCCTGCCCTGGACCCATAATACATGATTGTTTTCACATGTTGCTTGTTACCTCATCAGTCTCTGCTTATATAAACCCTGTTCACTCAGTCAGTCTTTGTGAAGTCTTGTTTGTATCATGCTGCAGTTCCAAGCTCTTGTATCTTGGTTCCCGGTGTCATGGTTTTTTGAACTGTTCTTTGTTTTAGCCAAATTAACACTAGGTATTTTTGTCTACAGCTAGATTTAACCGAAAGGCGAGATTTGCCACTTGCAATTAGAGGAGAAATTGAAAACAGAGGCTTGAAGTTGAACACGTCACTTTCTAGTGACGTCAGTGCGGTTTTTGCGTGGGTTGCGATAACTATTTGTCAAATACACAGATATTTTGGTTGTAGCAACAGAAACACACTGTAAAAAAAATCCATAAGATTTACGGGAAAAAAACAGCAACTGTGGTTGCTGGAATTGTACTGTAAAAAATACGGTAGCAATGTTTTCGGTTTTACGGTTTTAACTTACATTTACAGTTAAATACCGTAATTTAAATTAAATGCTGATGGGATTGTTGAGCACACAGCTGTAGGTGTTGTTATCCTGATATTCCACCTCCAGAGGTAGAGAGAGACTGATGCTGAGATCAGACACACTGATGCTGGACAATAAACTGTTTCCTTTGTACCAGGAGAGAGTCACATGACCCACATTCACCACTGAACACACCAATGAACAATATGATGATGATGATGAAGAACAGTGTGAAGAGTCTCTGCTGATGACAGGAACAGGCAGACAAGCTGAAAATATGAGATAAATCAGATTAAATAATGTTATTAGTAAATAAGAGGGCTGGTTTTGACAGTGTTCATTGTGTTCAAACAATATACTATTGTGATTGCAGTTTTATTTTTTTATTTATTTTTTTGATATACTAACTTCATAATAATAAATCAAAAGTGTGAACTGTTTTAGTAGAGTCCCGGGTCATGCTCACTCATAAGGTTTATTTATTTGTTTGTTTGCTTATATATTTATTTTTTGTGATATGGTGTTTTGTGCCATATCATCTATGCAAAGTTGGTGCAATAAAGTAACATCATAGTTAACAATTACTTGTTTAGGATATATCTTTGTAATGTATTTTATATTATTTAGTCACTTATGGGCTATAGTTTGAATTGTTCTAATTCAACATGCCATGGGAAGTCAATCTATTACATTTTCATATATTGATATTGTTTATTTCTTACTCCTTAACAGTTCATCAGGCTCTCAATGTTTTAATCTATGCAATATTTTGGAATATCTGAAGGCCATGTAGCATAGTTCTTAACAGTAGCATTTGTTATAATAAGACTAGCCTATTAATCATTACCAGGCCAATAATGACTTTTTTATTTTTATGAATTAATATAGCATGTGTTATGAAGAAACAACTGCCTGCACATTTAGAACCATTAGCTACAACATGCCACAGTTGTAATATAAATCTATAGGGGAAAAAATCTATTCTCTTAACAGATCATCTAATATAAATTATATACAACAAATTAGACTAAATTTTGCACAATAAATAAGCCTACAATAAAACGTGATAAATTCTAGTAAAGGTGGTCATAAATAATTGAAAAAGATTGTAACCTAATATATGTGCTGGTTCAAGGCTGTTCCCTTTCATGGGAACGTCGAACTGCGTCCTCTAGGGGTTGCTATGGGGAAGGCCTCGTCGTGACCCGTGTCTGAAGCATACATTGAAAAAACACCAACTCGTTGGCCGGCGACAGCCATGACGTCAGTAACGGTGCGACTAAAGTATAAATAGGCACCGGGAGCTACACATCATTCACTTCTTCGTCTTCATTGACTGTTCTGTTTGAAGTGTGCATTTCCAAGGAAAAAGTAAGAGCTATCTCTATTTTTATGGCGAGCACTAGCAGAGCATTTAGAAGATGTGTGCATCCGTGTCATCGATATTTGACACCAGATGACACACACGATCTATGTGTTGTTTGTTTTGACGAAGAGCATGCACGCGATGTCCTCGAGGGGGCAATCTGCGTGCACTGCGAGCTTTTTCCAATGAAAAGCTCCGTTCTCATTTGTCTCTCTTTTCAAGTAGGGGCAGCCATCTGCTTCTGCCCACTTTTCTAAAAATCCTGTATGGTATGAGCTACGCGCAGAGACTTCATGCTCTTTTTGAGTGGTTTAAAACCCCGGTTCCGCTTTGGGCACCACTCCTCCCCAGGGTGTTGCTACTAAGGGTCTGTTGAGACAGTTCCATCAGACGAAGAAGTGAATGATGTGTAGCTCCCGGTGCCTATTTATACTTTAGTCGCACCGGTAGTGACGTCATGGCTGTCGCCGGTCAAAGAGTTGGTGTTTTTTCAATGTATGCTTCAGACACGGGTCACGACGAGGCGTTCCCCATAGCGACCCCTAGAGGACGCAGTGTCTCGTTCCCTCAGGACCCATGGTTACATAAGTAACCTGAGACGTTTTCTCCTCTTTTCATCAGTTTATTTGCCTTTTTTTAGATACTGTTCGACTTTCTCCATAGCAGTTTAAAGTGGCTGTTTCTCTTAATAATTCAAGTATAGATCACATATTTGTCCATCAGCTTCGCGATAAGAATGGCTCGCAGAAATCGTATCACATTTCTCGAGCGCGCTTGTGAACGCACGCAGAGTATTCGGTTATTCGCGCGACGCTCTTAAACTGCGCTTCAGTCATATTGCGCTGAGAACTGCTCCGTTCGGTTCGTACGTTAAGTTAGCGCTTATAAAAGCGCCGAATGCACGATTTAAATAATTAATTAATAGCCTGATTCGAGGTCTAACGAAGGAGAAAATACATAAGCAGATCAACGGAGCATCGCCGTTTGAATCAGCTCTAACAGAGACCGAGGTTGACATGATGGGATGCTATTTTGTGCCAACTCTTTTTATTTTCCTCGTTCATGGTAAGACGCTTACATTTGTATCCTCTGCCCTTTTGGTTTTCAGCGATGGAAAATGGCGATTTCACATCAACTCTTGGATTGTATTTGTCGCTGTTTTAAATAATTAAATAGGCTATTTTAATAATACAGTGCCACGATTGTCCTTATTCTGTGTTTCGGGATGGCATTTATTTTAGGTAGCCAGTTCCTGTTCTGGAGAAGGACATTGCGAAAAGCGACCCATGAAGGTTAGGTTAGTTTAGTGACAATGCATAACACATGTACGCTTTATTCTTTGTACACATACGGACGTGTAGTCTAGAGAGAATGTGTAGCCTGCATTTGACTGTCATCGGCCTGATTAAGCACATTGAATATATGAGTTCTTTCATTTTCTACCAGATTTCTCAAGGAAAAAGGTTCAGTGCTAATTCAATGGTTCATCAACATAAAACTGGATTTCTGATGCGCTGAAGGCTAAACTGACTCTGCTCAACATTTTCAGCAGAATGTGTTGCCTGTCTGTTGTCTGTTTCTGTGGTATCTGATTAGCCAACACCCGTTTCTGTTCTCCCTGATTACAATTCCTGTATACTGACCTCCTTAGAAAAAAAAAGAAGACAATGTTAATGTGGGGAAAAAAGTGAAGTCAAACTGTGAAATGGATGGTAATGTGAAAGACAAATTGTTGTGATGAAGGATGTTATTCAAGCAATAATTTCACTGTACATTAGAGGAGCACAGCATGTATATGCTTAGAATTGGTTAAACATGGTTACATTATGTTTATTATGCCACAATAGTAACATTCTTGGGTTCACAAAGTTCATTGTTTGGGGAAGAGGAAATGTAGTGATATCTGATTAGTGAGATCACTAAGCAGGGGGTCTGGTACTGTGTGAGTGTTCAATAAAGTTCAGTTACGTACCTGCTACGCTGTGTGATCAGTACGCTGCATCGTTTTATCCATGAACACAACACCTGTGAAACTTGCCAGGTGTTTCCCTTCCTAAAGGTTGAGACACTGGGATGGACTCCAGCGTCTCTACAATAGGACAAAGGTTCTTGACTGAATGTTTAAGAACCCTTTATGACAAACAGGTTCTTTATAAGGAGAAATATCTTAAATGATTGCTTACTATTTTCATGTTTAACATGTTCTTTTTTTTTCTAATGATGAAGCATGCTTATGAACTGTTTTATTCATAACACTTCATTAAAATTATATAAAATAAACATTATTGAGTAACTATATATTTGTGTTTCCAGGTGTTTTTGGTGAGGATGTGGTGACAGTGATGGAGGGAGATACAGTCACTCTACACACTGATATCAACAAAAAAGAACATGACAAGATGCTGTGGTATTTTGAAGACACTCGCATAGCTCTGATCAACGGACATCCCAATACGAGCTGTTTATATGATGGTGAAGGTGGGAGATTCAGAGGCAGACTGGAGGTGGACTATAAGACTGGATCTCTGATCATCACAAACATCACAACTGAACACGCTGGACGTTATGAAGCAGAGATCATCAGAAGCGAGAGCTCAGGAAAAAGCCAAAGCCTGAACAGAAATCGCAAGTGTGACAGCAGAAAAATCACCAAAAAAATCAGCATCAGTCATGATGATACCATGAAGACTTTCAATATGATCGTCATTGGTGAGTTACTCAATGTAATTTACCCTTAACTGTTTGTGTGTGTGTGTGTGTGTGTTTGTGTGTGTGTGTGTGTGTGTGTTTGTTTTGAATAAATTACATATTAGAACACAAATCAGTGATTTTTCTATTATAATACAAAAATACATATTATAAAAACCAAATTCAACTTCATAGGCATGCTGTAAACATAATGGTTCATCAACATAAAAACTACATTTCTGATTAAATGTCTGACATTTCTGAAATCCTGTGATCCTGCAAAACAAGTGGATTAGAAAAAGGCTTGATGGATAGATTTTATTACAATTTTAATTGAATAAATGGTCTTTTAAGAACCTTATGATGACCTAACACTATAATTTATTCCTGATGGTTCATGTTTCTTTGAAGTCACTATGAAATCAAAATGGATGATTCTTGCACAAATTAATGTGCCCTCATAATCTTTAATCAAAATAACTTACCCATCCAGTGATCCAATCAATTCCCAATAAACAAAATCAAGTCCTGCCTTCATGTTTTAGTTATTTATTGAGATGTAATTTCACTCACACACAGGGAAGAAAAGACTATCACTGCTTTCATTGCACAGCATATGCAACTAATATTATTAATGTGGCATTGAAGAATGTTTTCTAAAAGTTTTTCCTGCAGTTATACAAATGAACAGAAACTGCCAAAAGGACTTAATTTTTCAACATCAATTCAATATCAATGTGTTCCTTTATATTTCTTTATTTTTATTCCAGCTGCTCTGTCTGATCAAGTCAAAACCAATGAAGAGCCCCGTATGGAGAAGAGGGAGTTTGACTTGGGTATATTTTCACCTTTCCTTTTTTATCTCTTAATAGATTGCATATAATGTAGTACAGCATATCTATAAATGCATTGTTCTTAAAGGGAGCTTGACTTTAGCTTAAAGACTTGAAGCCAATAAAATGCTTCCTCCAAACCTGTAATTCAACAAACAATGATTATTATGGTTCTGGAAAGGCAAACAGAAACACGGCAGCTCTTCAGACAAATACATAAGTACATAGTGACGTTTGACATGCGACAATTGTATCACGAGATCACAAAGAGTGAAAAGGCGTTTCTTGACATTTCTGGAGGCCAACCTCATAGACTATTCCTAAACCTTGCATAAACTATTCCATAATGAAATAATACCTATTGTTTCAACAGAGGAATGAGCTTTTTGGACATGCAATAGTGTCCATCTAGTGAATATGGTATACAAAGACATATTCTCTCGCACTAATGACTGTCTCTCTTCTCTCATTACAGATTCAGGTCTGTCTTCAGCTGCTGTAGCAGGAATATGTGCTGCTGTTCTGCTGCTGGTGTCTGTTGTAGCTGCTGCTGGTGGGATTTACTATCGCCGCAGGAGCTCCAGACATGGTGAGTATTACATGCAGATCCTATAGTGAGAGGGAAACATCATGTGCTTAATGCAAAACTAATATGTGGCTCCTTGGAATACTTGGTTCTGATTGGTCAGTTGCGACATTCCAAATATTTCCTGATAATGACCTTCGTCATTGAATTGTGTGCGTGTGTGATTTTTTTATTTTTTTCACAGCAGACAGGGACAAAAACAAGTATGAAGGACTACTGCCCAAATGAGGTAAGATACTGTACTGAAAACTGACTTTACATGACACCAAGATCTGTGTTTGATTTTACTTGCATGGACAAAATCATCCTAATTGTTTGTTTCTCTAACTTTACCTTCTATGATTTATTGTTTTCTTACAGAAGGAGAAAGACAGTCCCAAAAATGTGATTATAAAATAAGAAAACATTTTTTTTTTTACAGAAATAATCGTTACTGTAAAACATAATAGATTAATCTTTGTTTTATTTACAATTTTGAAAAATATTCCCATTGGTTTTGTTAATGTTAATAATGAAACACTAATTGTAATGCACTTAACTGTTTACCCCTTAACCTCAAGAGGAAGTATCTATATAGAGTTGAGGTCAAAAGTTTACACCCCCCTTGCAGAATCTGCAAAATGTTAATTATTTTACCAAAATAAGAGGGATCATACAAAATGCATGTTATTGCTTATTTAGTAACTTACTGACCTGAATAAGATATTTCATATAAAAGATGTTTCCATATAATCCACAAGAGAAATTAATAATTGAATTAGTAATATAGTAGTTGGGGGTAATATAATAGTACAGCCCTCGGCTCTTAATGCATTGTGTTTTCTTCTGGAGCATCAGTGAGCGTTTGAACCTTCTCTAATAGTTCTATATGAGTCCCTCAGTCGTCCTCAGTGTGAAAAGATGGATCTCAAAATCATACAGTCATTTTCGGAAAGGGTTAAAATACACAAAAATGCTGAAAAACCAAAGAATTTGTGGGACCTGAAGGATTTTTCTGAAGAAGAGCAGGCAGTTTTACTGTTCTGGACAAACAAGGGACTTATGAACAACAACAAAAAACAGCTGTGGATCATTCAGGTAACAAGAATCAAGGGGATGTAAACTTTTGAACCGGGTCATTTTTATAAATTCAACTATTATTTTCTTTTGTAGACTATATGTAAACATCTTTTATGTGAAATGTCTTATTCAGGTCTGTACTAAATTAACAATAACATGCATTTTGTATGATCCCTCTTATTTTGGTAAAATAATTAACATTTTGCAGATTCTGCAAGGGGGATGTAAACGTTTGACCTCAACTGTATCAGAGTTGTGTTTCTGTAATTGTGGTTCTTGCAATACTTTCTATTGTTGTTTAATTTCATCCCTGTGGTTTAAAGGGTTATTTATTTATTTTCACGACAAAGAGATATTATCTTTCATTTAAATAATTGTTTTTGTGGATATTTTCCAATGTTTTGGTTTTGGTATAACTCTTTTGAATTTGTGCTGGTTAAATGAAGTACAGGCCAAGTCTGGGCATTTAAATGTGCAGCTAAAATAATTTATTATACCACCTGTTAACTTTGACACTAGCTGTAAACTGAGCTAGAGTGCATTTACATTTAGTAATTTAGGAACATGTATCATGTTTTTATTCAGATCAGCAGACGAGCACCACAAGCACTTTAAAACAGGAATTATTATAATAAGATAAAGGACGGATCCTTGATCCACCACAGCTCAATAGAGCAGGTTAAGGTTCTAGAAAGTGACTTTAAACCTTATTGTTTCTTTGTGTACAAAAAAATTAAAAATAACAATAAACATTAAAAATAAATTAAATATTTGTATGACACAGATATATTAAGTTTACTTTATGCACATGAAAATTTTTGAATTATGTGCCAGTCAAAAATTAGCCTGTTTGTTGACTGATTTAGTAACAACAAGTTAATAATAAACAAAAAGAAAACTGAAGAGATTGATCCAAAATGTATAGGCAACTATCATGTTTGTACATGACCAAAACACTATGCAAACAAATGCAAATTTTAACTGTCACTTTTTCTTTCATTATACCTCAGAGTTTGGAATGATCTTTCAAGCTTTGTCCAAAAACTGTAATGTATTTATAATATTACTCAACATTCTGGAATTCCCATTCATTTCATCTAATGAGAAACTGATTAATGATTCTGTAAACCACAGACATGTAAGCAGTGCAAAGTGTAGTTACTGTACTTATAACAATTTACATGAAAAAAAATTGTAGTTTGTAATGTAGTCTAGATTATGCATTTTAGGTAATGTATTCTGACTACTTTTAGATTACTTTTGAAATAACTCATTTAACATCTCAGGGGATTTCAAGAAAATATTTTAGGTCAAAGGGGTTTGTCTGACAACAATGTTTGGGATTCCCTGCGATAGACGAAAACCAATGACATTACACATTCAGAGTTTTTAAAAATTACTCTGTCATTGTTTATGCTGTATAATCATATTTATTCATGCATGCGAAAAAATATATGTTTGTATTGTATGTCTATAATAAAAATACTGCTATCCTCTTCAGATTTCCTGTGGTATGTTGTCGCTGCTGTTTTTATTATTGAATTGTATTTTATTTCATTAACTGTTAAATAAAAATAATTCTAATTGATGTGTATATATGCAATTAAGTTCATTATGTAAATTCACTGTAAATTGCCTTAAACCATTCAAAAACTAATATGTATGCTGTTTGTAATGTTAGTATATTAATGTAAACTTATTTGAGTCCACTAAACAAATCATTTTCTTAATATAAAATGAAACTTTTTTTCATTCATTTTCACAGGATTGTTAAAGAACTGATTGGAACAAGGAGTAACATCAATGCACCCATTAGAGATAAGAATGGAAATATACTGCTGATGAAAAAAGAGCAAGACCAGCACTGAGTTGAGCATTTCCGAGAGACTTTGAACCAGCTTGAACCAAAGAGCACTTTTGCTTTCGACCCCAGGGACTTTTCACCCGAATTGCAAGTGAAACTGGATAAAATCACAGTTGATGAGGTTGAGGCAACTGAAAAAATTTGGCAAGGCAGACCAGATTTCCGCAGAGCTTCTGAAACACGGCGGAACAAGTATGGTACAAGCATTGACACAGCTGATGAATAAATGCTGACATATTTGAAGAAATATATGATATGATATATTTAAGAACATCTACCATAACTCAAGGTGTTGTGTGTGAACCGACACAGGAACATCTGAGTTTTTTGACGTTGTGACAGGTGTTAGGCAGGGGTACATTTTGTCACCCATGTTGTTCCTGCTTGCCATAGACTATGCCATGCGGAAGACAGCAAGTGGACATGCATGTGGTAGACAGAGCAAACAAGGCATTCATGGACAGAGCAAACAAGGCTTGCTGATCTAGACTTTGCTGATGATATAGCACTACTAGCAGAGTCACGGGAGAAGCTACAGCAACTTACCACCCTGTTTGAATTTTAGATTTGCACTTAAGATCGGCCTGCGGATCAGCATCAAAAAAGACCCAAGTGATGCAAATGAGCGGGAAAGATGAAGATCTACTGATGTAAATTACTATTAGCAACCAGCCACGGATATAGACCAGTTTACATACTTGGGCAGTGTTATCGCACAGGATGGGGATGCAGAGCCAGATGTAACCCAACGCATTGGCAAAGCAGCCAATGTGTTCCAAAGGATGCGCAACATCTGGATGTCACCCAGCATTAACACATCACGTAAGATCTGTCTCTATATGTCCATTGTGTTACCAATGGCAATTTATGCCTGTGAGACCTGGAAAAATACAGTGCGCATTGGCCACAAGTTGGATGTATTCCACCAGTGGTGTCTCAGATGTATTCTCCGCGTCACATACCACGACCATGTTACAAATGAAGAGATTCTGCGCAGGGATAAAACTCATAGACTTTCCTCCATTGTGTCTGAGAATCGTATCAAACTGGCAGGGCACATCATGCGGCAACCAGAACAACGCCTTGCAAAAATTGCAATAACATGGATGCCGTCCAATGGATGTCGAAGGCGAGGAAGGCCAAAGAAGACCTAGCGAAGTTCATTCAAAGCGATCTGGCGTTAAATGGGAAGAAGTTGAAACCCATGCAGACAATCGCTATCAGTGGAATTTGCTTGCTGCCCAATGTGCCCTGTAGCACGTACGGACCGCTCAAATGCTCCGTGTATCTAATACTAAACTAAATTACTTAATAAATAATTCAGTTAAACTAACTTATTGGAGTTAAGCTTTAGCTAGCAATAGCACACATGCCTGAACTAATGTAACTCACCGATAAGTTTAGACCACACATACTTTCATCTATACCAAACTCCAATATATCTGAATATTTATGATATCCGTTCTGTTTTCTTTGAACCTATAGCAGATCTGACGTCATTGACCAGAAGAACAGCAGCAGCTGCAGCAGCCACGCCCATCAGAGCAGTGACGACCAATCGGATCACAGGCTCGATAGTATCACAACAACTGACATGAACTTCTAGGGAAAAAAACACACACACACACAAAAACAAGAGAGCAATAATAAAACATAATTGTGATTGAAACACGCTGACTTTAGCTGCATGGAACTCAATCAATCGATTAATCTGCAAAATCTCTTTTTGTTATCCACGCAGGGGGAAAAAAATCAAACCTATTTAGAAAGACATGACTAAGGTAAATGATGACAGGTGCTTCATCATTTCTGGCATCTTATGTTATCAATCTCTGTAAAATTAACAATTTATTTAAGTAAATAATGCAAATATCAGCACTGCCGTACCTGGACATGTGTGACAGAGTTCACTGATGTTCAGATGTTGAGTCTGGTTGCTGATGGGATTGTTGAGCACACAGCTGTAGGTGTTGTTATCCTGATATTCCACCTCCAGAGGTAGAGAGAGACTGATGCTGAGATCAGACACACTGATGCTGGACAATAAACTGTTTCCTTTGTACCAGGAGAGAGTCACATGACCCACATTCACCACTGAACACACCAGTGAACAGTACAATGATGATGATGATGATGATGAAGAACAATCTCTGGTAATGTTAGGAACAGGCAGAACTGGGAAACATGAGACAAACATGACTAGATCAAAAAGTGTTCATTACAGCATCAGTCAGTCTCATGTCAGTGATCTTCACTCCTCTATTTACACTTAGAAATGATTATTGTTTACACATATGGACAAATATCAGATAGGAAAATGATACTAAATTAAAATGATCTAGTCATTTTAATAATAAATAATCAAAATAATTGAAGTGCTAAAGGGGTCATATGACATTGCTAAAAAGAACATTATGTTGTGTATTTAGTGTAATGAAATGTGTTTAAGCGGCTTAAGGTTAAAAAAACACATTATTTTCCACATACTGTACATTATTGTTTCTCCTCTATGCCCCGCCTTTCTGAAACGCCTCGATTTTTACAAAGCTCATCGGTCTGAAAAAGCGAGGTATACGCTGATTGGCCAGCTATTCAGTTTGTTGTGATTGGATTTGAGACTTTAGTCTTTGCAACTTTACAGATCTTCTTTATGCACCAAGAGCTTGTAACACTCCAAAGAGAAAGGAAAAATTTAAAATCGCATCATTTGACCACTTTAAGATACTTGTACTTTAAATTTAAACAAAAACAAATATTTAACTCACCATAGTGTAGGATTTCTATCGAACAGACACAGATACGCCATTGATTCAACTCATCACGAGGTCTAACCTAATCATCACTATCACGTGACGTCAATGTTCTGAGTCAGTTCCTGTCAGCGCCTCATCGTTATCTACTTAGAAGAGGGATAATAACTAACTCGATCAGGAGAATGACAATAGATCTTTTCTTACAACACAGGCCGAGGAGAAGCACCTCGTGGGCCAATGTATGGAACTGTTATATATCCAACAGGAAAAGGACGAGTAAATTAACTGATGCCCTCAGGCCTGCAAACAGTAAAAATCATGTTTAGGGGTAAAATAAATTTTTTTTTGGCGAGGTTCTCCTGGCACAATTCACATTCCAGGGCCTAAATATCACGTTACTGGGGTCGCTTCAACCTACTGACATAAAAAACAGCCGGCGGCAATCGCGGATTTGGCAACACTGGTCCGCAAACTATGTTTCATATAACTCCTCCCCGAACTTCCCGCTGCCCTGTATCTTGGTCTCTCATTGGCTGTAGGTCATCGCCGATGTGTTTTTCTGTCAGAACTCATTTCACACAGCTTGATTGTGAATCACGTCGGCAACCTGTCGGCGATTCCATCAGATCGCGTCTTTGATAATTCACACTGCGTGATTGTCACTCGCGTGAACGAGCCCCGATTTGCCTCCGATTTCGGGCATTTATCTGTGATTTCGCAAAACCTCTCAGCGAGTGAAAAATCGGGCTAAAATCGTGCATTGTGAACTTGGCATTAGTCTTTGCAAACAGAATCTGAGAAGAACTTCAAGCACGTCGTCACGTCACAAGGAAACCAACCAATCACCGGAGTTCATCCCCAGAAATATGTCAGACATGAGTCAGCAGCCAATCCGCAGCCCCGGGATTCCCTCAAGTAGCCATCCAAGAAGCCTGTTGTCGGCTGTCAACTTGAACGCAAGTAACAAACAAATCACCATTTCTTGCTGAATTGATTTTAAGCAGTAAAGATAAGCCAAGTCTCTGCTTTTGAGTTTTCTCAGGTTGAATTAAAAGAACTCGTAGAAAACGAGTATTAGAACTTTGGAAACTTCATGCAAAAGCAGCAACTCATTTCCTGAACCTTGTGTGTGTGTGTTTTAGCTTAGTTTAATGTGCCATAGAATAGCGAAAAAAACGTTTGTTTCATTTATAAAGAAGTATTGTCTTGCGTCGTGTATTTTAAAGTCAAACTTTGCCCAGATCCTTTGTTACCTTGCTCAAGATTAATAAGATTACCATTTTGTTTGTGTTGTCGTTGGCCACAAAGTAATATGAACAGAATTGTTAAGATATACTGATTTTAACGCTCGCTGGACGAACCGTTGATAAAGTATAAGCTCTAAATTTTGAATCAGATCAACTTGAAGAAATCAACATCGAATCTTTTCCCTACACGAACAAGAATCGATTCCCTAAAAGCTGAAATAAAAGCTAAATCCTTAAAGTTATTACAATAGATAGAATTTTTCACACTGTTGCTCTGTAGTTGATAGAGTCCTGTATGTTGAGTTCTGGTGTCTGTGATGCTCAGAGATACAGTTTGATGATCCAGCTTCAGTCTGTCTCTGAATCTCTCATCAAGAACATCGTCATATACAGTGATGCTGCCGGCCATTACATTGGTTTGAGTGTTTTCAGTGTTTTCAGATCCAAACCTCTACTGAATCAGATCTTCATCCACTATTTCAGTAATGC